GGGTGGGGGTGGGGAGCAGACCAAGGGCCTGGTGTTGATCTCACAATAGTATTCGCTTCTCACTGTCCCACCGAGACAGGTCAGAACAGACAGAAAGAGCACTGCCTGAAAAGCCGCCGTGTGACAGTCTTCGCCTGCCCCTTGCGTCGGCCGGCAAGCTGAGCGGGCCCTTCTGCTGCTTGAGGCACCTCTTCTTGGGCCTCCCAGTCGAAGGTGATGGATCCTCAGTGGCTATGTTCCCTGGCACCACCCACTGCCTACGTGTGACAACCAAGCACAGCCCAGGGCAGGGCAGAGTGGGAAGCTGTGCCCTGAAATGCCCTGTTCCCACGAACCTTCCCCTCGGCACAGGGTCTCCAAAACATGGAGCATTCCAGAAGACATCACGGCTGGCTGCAGCTCCCTCCCCTAAGAGCTGTGAGTCCCGTCCCACATCCAGGGGCCACTTTGTCTGCTAGGCTGGGGGACCTCGCACGCCTCATCCCGGGTCTTCCTTCCTGGGCTCCAGGCTTCCTGCTGGGAGTTCCCAGAAGCACATGTTCCCAGTGCCTGACCTCAGGTCCCCCGCGGCCCCTGGTGGTGGTCTCTGAGCTGCCCCGGCCTTCCACAGGCACCGTAGCAGCAGCACAGGCCTCAGACAGACCTGGTCCCCAGAGAGGCCACTCCAGCCAACCGTGACCAACCTTCTCACTTTACCTGGAACCTTTCTAGGGCACACCTGGAAGCAGGACAGCCTCTTTGGGCTGGACTCCCAGTCACTCGGCTCCGAGCAATGGGGTAAGCTGGCCTGGGCCCAGGCGGGCACAGCGGCCGGTCTACGCTGGGGAGAGCTCCGTGGCCCTTCTCTCCACGCTGCACAAATGGGACCGGTAACCCCGGACTGGCCCTGCCAACCAGTCCCTGTCCTCTCCTAACCTACTCTAGAGACCTCGGGAGGCCTGGCCAGGGATGGCCAGAAGACCCCCAGAGACAAGGTTGGGTGTATGCCGCCAGCACCCTTGGGTCTTGCCGGCCACTCCCCCGAAGCCCTCCATGGTTTCCAGGGTGGCCCCTTGGGGGAGACAAGACCCCCCCTCAACTCTCCTCCCATGGAGCCCCGCCGTGGGAGAGGGGGCACATTCTGGCCCTCACAGCAGCACACCCAGGAAACAGCCAGGCACAGCCCCGCGTCCCAGCAAGTGCCCGAGGGTGACCGTCCTCGTGGTGCTGCGCCCAGCATGGGGTGGTAGGTCCAAGGGCTGCACCCTAGGGGTCTCCAGAGCACAAAACACCTTGACTTTCGCATCGACCAGCAGGGTGGTTGCCGACAGGCCTGGGAGGGGCACCCGTCGCTCTAGGCGTCCAGGTCCGGACCAGGCTCCTGGAAGAGCGACTGCTTTCGCAAAGTGAGCCGGGCACACTTGGGGCACGTGGTAGAGTTGTCGTAATAGCAGTCCCTGGGGACAGGAGACAGAGTCAGACTCCGGGGTGTGGCAGGGCTCTCTGCATGCGACATCCTACCGGTGAGTCTTCACAAGCTTCCTAAGTCAGGTCCCGATACCCTTCTACAGCTGGGGAAACTGAGGCACGGTTTCTTCCAAAGGGCACAAGCAGGGTCTGCACCCAGGTGTACCTGCCAGGCCTATGCTTGGGCACCTTGTCACCATCTGACAAGGACCTTCCTGCTCAGAGCTCCTTGTGACTCAATGCCCCTACCCGGTCTCATATCCAGCGTGCAGGGTGTGTAGCTAGGGCACTGGAGGGGCTTAGTGTCCCATGCACTAAACTTCTGAAGGGGACACAGCAGTGTTTGACCTGTCAGACCCCATGCAAACTGCCAGCTCAAGGGAGATCAGTTTCCATGTGAGTTTTTGTAGCAGCCCCTCTGAACAGCGACCCCGGCTCCGCAGGGCTGAGACAGCAGCTTTGCCCTGACACACGGTGAGTGGCGGGCGACAGTCAGTGCGGACAGAAGTGGGGGATGCTGTCCTATCTGCGTCCGGTGTGAGAAGCTGTGCAGGGCCCAGCAGGTGGACACCTATTATTAGCAATTGTGCTTATTAAAGAATTAAAATATTTTTCTTCCAACCTATGCGTGTTATTTTCCCAAACATCCAGTAAGTCTTTAGTTCCATATGCTTAAGTTGTTTGAACCTAAGCACTTAATAAACAAACTGTTAAGTATTATTTTAGCCTAGAGAAATTTGAAGGAAAAAATCACTGAGACACTAGAAGTGCCAGCACTAGAACATTTAGGCGACGCTGGCCTTTGCTGAGCGGGGGAGGGCGACGTCAGCCCTGGAGAAGGGAAGCAGGTGGCCTGGTGCGTCCTGGCCCAGGCTGCTACACCCTGTCCCCAGCCCACAGGCGCCTGTTCCTGGTGGAACTTCCAGTTCAGTCACAGACACCGGGACTTAAGTCCACATCTCAGAGCTGTGAGAATCCGGTAGCAGAGGCCGCGCTGCAGGGGTCCCCCTCCCCCCACGGCAGCAAGGCAGGCTCCCAGCTGGGGGTGGGGGTTGGGGCCGCACCAACCTGTGGAAGACAGCGGAGCAGTCCCTGCACACGGACGTGTGGCTGTCGAAGGGGAAGAGCACGTCGCCCTCTCTGCAGAGCTCACACACAAAGCCCTTGGCCTGGCACCGCTGGGGGCGGAGGGGCGCAGGTTAGCGCTGCTCGGAAGGGCACCGGAGGCCACACCTGTCGCCCTCCCCACCCTCAGGGCTGGGAGCAGGGAGCCGCCGGCCTGCGATGAGTCGCCCACCTCGCAGTCAAGCTTGATGTGCTTGGCGAAGAGCGTGTGGGTCTCGGTGAGCGAGCAGCCCAGGCGGCCTGTGTGTGCGTCCAGCAGGTCCTGGATGGAGTAGGTCTCGTCGCTCTCCACAAAGTGCTGCCGGTCCTGGAGCTACGGGCCCAGCGAGTGTCTGCACTCACGCAGCCTCTCCAGCCTCGCTGGCCACCTTGCGGCTCCTGGCCCCAGCTTCACCCCACCGCTGCCTGGCACTTGGCACTTCCCCAGGGTCCTGATCCCATTTACCGCCCCGACATCCCGGCCGCTCCCCTGCTTTACCTCGTCCACAGACCCCACCACTCCCGCAGTGCTGCTTATTCTTCCTGTCCTCCCCACCCACAGGGCACGGCCTGACATGAGGACAAGGGTCTCGTTTTGTCCCCCGCTCCCAAGACATGTCTGCCCATAGCAGGTACTCGGTGAGCATTTGTCAAACGGATAAGTGGGTGAGCCTTGGAAATGTGTTCTGTGGTCGACCTGGGCCAGCCCGCACCTGGTCCACTGCATGGAGATCCACGCAAAGGCCGCAGAGACCACAGCTGTGTCCCTCCGGACTTCCCACGCTATGTCATCAGAGCGCACTTTTGTGGGGAGGATGCCTGTTTGCTTATGCTAGACCGAGTGTTCCTGCCACAGGGTGCGGAAGACCCTGTGCCAGAGGCATGACACACACCAGCCGTGGCGCCATCTGGAGGGACCTGGGCGTGAGGCGCCCTCGCCTGTCTGGCTGCTTCCCACATGCCCTCCCCAGGACCCGCCCGCCCCTACCAGGCGGCCTGACCTGCAGCAGCAGGCGTGCCTCCATGGCCTCCTTGCAGGTGATGAAGTACGGCTTCATGAGCAAGATGTCCTGGCGCAGCTTCTGCGGGCGGGAGGGGCAGTGGCTGCCAGGCCAGGGCCGCACCGGGCACTTCCTGGAGGCCGCGGGTCTGGCCCTGGGCTGGCTCTGTCGGAAGCGTCTTGCCTTACGCTCCGGGTCAATACCTTCACACCCCCAGGACCGGCCCAGAGCTGAGGGCTCCAGCTAAGCTCAAGTTCAAACCACAGCTGCCAGGCCAGGCAGGACCCCAAGGCCCCGTCGTCCTCAGTCGCTCTACCCCACACGAGGGTCTGAGCAGCTCCCATCCGCCGCCCCAGTGTCAACAGGCTCCGCCTCAACCCCCTCCCCTTTAAATGAGGTCCAGACCCTTGTCACCACCCCACCAGAGCCACCCTGCTCTCCTGCTGGTTTGGCAGACAGGCCGCCACCACGCTAAGTCCTGGGCGTCGCGCATGGCTGGGCGGGATGAGGTCGCCTAAGTGTAGAATATACACAGGAATTCGAAAGAAAAACAATGTAATGTCTCAATAATGTACACTGATTATGTTGGGTATATTGGGTTAAATAAGATATATTATTACAAATTTTACCTGCTTTTTACTTTTTTAAGTAAAAAGTATGTGGTTACTCAAAAATGTCAAAACGCCTCTGAGTCCGGCGTGACACTGCGAGCGGACATGGCTTTACCGTCTCTACTTGGGAGGAGAGCTGAGGCCCCCACCCCAACGCCCACGCCCGGCCCCCAGCGGCGCCGGCACCGCGGCCTCACCCGGATCTCCACCAGCTCCTCCACGTAGTTGAACAGCAGAGGGTTGACCTCCCGGAGCCTGAGCACCGGCCGAGACACCATCAGCGCCAGGTAGCGCATGCTGCAGCGGGACACCTGCGGGGGCGAGACTGCGCAGCTGCAGCACGGCACCGGCCCCGCCCCCAGCCTGCAGGCACCGCCCCCTCCCCCCGCCGCACCTTGCGGGGCTCGAAGTCCCAGTTGTGCACCACGCGCGCGGGGATGACGGCCAGGTCGTTCCAGTGGCAGTGGCTGCAGTAGTACTGGCCGGTGTAGTCGCACTGCCGGGCCTCGCTGGGCACGCCCCCTGCGGGGGCGGGGAGGTCGTCATGAAGTCGGAGCTACTGTCAAGGCCCTGGCCCCTCACACATGCGCACACGCATGGGTGGGCCATGGCGCTGGTCCCATCTCCCAGCTGTGCCCACGCAACACGAGAAAAAGATCCCGCGGGCTGGGTTCCACCCGCAGACCTGCCTCGGCCTCTTCTCAGCCAGGACAGACAGCTCAGGTGCGTCCGGGCGCCTCACTGCCCCACCATCCATACAATGGGACAATAATAAGCCTGCCTCCCGAGACTACTGAGGGGACCCCACAAATTAACCTCAGTAGATAAGAAGGCCTGCCATGTGGCACGTGTGTGAACACTGTGTGCTTTTCCTACTCCCTGTCTCGGAGGGCCCTGCCGGCCGCACACCCGGGGGCTGAGTACAGGTCCAGCCCAGTGGAACTCCTAGGTGACCTAGGCTAAACCGGTCTGCCTGAGTAGAAAGTGACAAGGTGCCATAACAGCCCCTTGTCGCTTCCCAGGGAGAGAGAGACACTGTCTGCAGCAGCCATGCTGGCCTTAGCTACCTGGTTCTTCCCATTTTGTCACCCAGCTGTTGGCGGGTCCCCCCTGCCCAGAACAGCCTCCCGCAGCCCTGGCCCTTCCGGCACTCACGCAGAGAGATGGGCGCCCTGCACTCTGCACAGCGGTAGCCCTGGCTGTCCAGCCCCGCCTCCGGGCAGATGTTGAGCTCGTACTCGGCTTGGTGGCTGACTTTGGAGCGTACGCAGGGCTTGGAGATGAGGTTCAAGCACTTGCTGTGACAGCGGTAAGAACACCCTGGGGTGGGGACCAACAACTGCCTCTTAGAAGCAGGGGGCATCCTCACCCCGGGCGGACCTTCAGCTGCAGGACCCCCGGGGGCTCTACCCCAGTGTACAGACCACTCCGAGAACGTCTCACTGCGGAGCCCTCGGTCCCTACCCCTGAGCCCTGCCCAGAGGGATGTGCAGATCTTGCCCTGAACTCCAGATTCAAAAGCCCAAGGCCAACCTGCTCCTCCCACCTGGACGCCGACATGGCTTCAACCGCAAGCTGCCTGAATGGGGTTTTGGTTCTCCCTCACCAAACCCACCCCAGACACAGCCCTCCTGCCTCAGACTTCAGCAACTCCACCTCCCCACCTGCTGGCACTAAAAATTGTGACGTCATCCCAACCCCTCTCTTGCACTCCGTTTCCAGCCCTTCAGATGGTTCTTCAGCTGGTGGCCTTGTTCCCCCTGATTAGGGGGCTGTCACCCCCCACCACTCCCACTCCCGCTTTTGCAGCCCTCCAGTCTATGCTCAGCTCAGCAGCCAGCGGCCGTCAGCACCTGTGTGTGCAGCACGCGCGGAGGCCGCCATCCCTGCGTCCCTCGCCAGGCCTCTCAGACGCGATGCCCCAGCCATGCGGCTCTCTGCCCCTCACCGATGTCACCGCACACAGCCACCTCAGGGGCCTTCCTCCCCACATGCACACCTGGCCTGCTTCCTGGCCTCCACGGTTTTGCTTAAACATCACGTGATGCTTTCTCAGGCCACCCGACTCCCGGACACGTGCTACTCCCTTTCCTTATTTTTCCTCACTGGACGGTACTGTCTCACACACTGCGTCATTTACTGATTGGTCCCTGCTCCAGGACAGCATCACCTGATGGGGCTCGGTGCGACTGTGGACGGGCTCCCTCTGTACTGCCCTCCTGTGGGACCGAGTGCTTGTGATGCCTACAGCGCAGATGAGAAACTAAATGCTCCTTTGAATCCATGCAGATTTGAGTTGGAATAGCCACGTGTGGCTCGTGGCTGCCGTGCTGGACGCACAGATGTGGGTGTGCCCCAGTGAAGGCGGGTGGGTCTTTCATCCCTGTGCACCCGCAGCCTGCCCTGGGCCCCAGGAGTGCCGAGGATACTGTACGGAATTCACCTGCACGCAGCCCGAAACAGGAGCACACCTGCCGGGTCTCTACCCGGCCCGGGACCCAACTGCCCACACAGATGAGCCGGTCTGGGTCTCGGCCCACCTGTGCAGGTGTACCAGGTCTGAATGAGCCCCCAGATGATGGCGTTGCACTTGTCACAGGTCTGCTTGACACTCTTGCTCTTCTCCTTGTAGAAGCGGTGCTCGAGGAGGACTCGGATGTGGGGCTCATCTTCATTGGGGTCCTGCAGAAAGGCCCAAGAAGGGCTGGTGGGAGAGCCGGGCTCCACACAAGCCCCTTGACTTCTGTCTGCCACACACCACTGGTGACAAAGACTGTGAGTGTCTCTCAAGGTCACAGCCCTTCTTCTCCTTAGCAACAGAACAGCCCAGCGATCAGCCAGGCCTGGCCCACCCGGACTGCAGACGGCCTGTCCTGCACCCTCACACCCAGGGGCTGCTCTGTTAGGGCCATGGGCACGTGAGCGGTAGTGACGTGCCCTGCTTGGCCCCTCCTACCCATTTCCTTCTGCCTGAGCGCAGACCCAGATGTGGATGGGCTTCCAGGGCCTGGCAGCCCCTTGACCCTGGGGCTGCAACCCCTTGGACCCCAGACCACCTACACTTACGGCTTTTCAACATGAGTAAAATTACACCTCTAGTTCCTGTAAGCCACTGTATTTTGCAGTGTCTTTGTTACCATAGCCTTACTTCTATCCTAACAAGGATTCCACTTTCCAAATTCCTAGGGACTCAGGAGCTAGTACAGGGACACGGTGGCAGCCAAGCCAGAGTGCACAGACTCGAGGATTGCATCATGGACACCTGTGGTTTCTGGCCTCCAGGATCCATTACCTCTACGGTTATCACCTTCAGGACTCCCTACCCCAAGTCGCGTGGTTCAAGGTGAGACTTACCTCACCTACGTGCTCTGGTGGGGGGCACGTGACCCAGGACTGGCCAGTCAGTCGCCATGACTGTGTCAGGGGTGGGCACGTGACCCAGGACTGGCTGATTAAGATCAGACTGATAGGGAAGTCATTGCACAGGAAATGAAAGCGCGCCGTGTCCCTGTCCTGTGTCCCTGTCCTGGCCCTTCCGGTCATCTTCTGCCTCGGGCCCTGGAACTGCCCACCTTCAACTCCTGGAGCTTCAGCCGGAGGTGGATGAGCCTCACGACGGCGTCCTTCTGCCTCTCCGAGTGCTCAGGCAGCTCCAGGATCACCTGCTTGCACTCCTCAATGGCCTGCCGCAGCTGCTGGATGTCGGAGGCCAGGAACAGACCCTGGGGGCGCGGCACGTGGGTCAGATCTCGCCCCGCTGCCTGCCCGGCCAGGCCAGGCACATCCTCACGGACGGTTAGGCACAGAGCAGGCCTCCTGCTCCTCACTTGCACAGAACGGGTCAAGGGCCAGGTCAAGAACCTGCTTGAGGCCCAGGGTGGTTAGCGGCACGGGCAGGAACCTCCCCACACTGCCTGCCCCCAGCGGGACCTGAAGACCTAATTCAGGATGTTTTTCAAAACACAACTTCCTTTTTAAAAATAATATCGTTTTTCTAGCTATACTACTTCTCTTACTTCTACAGAGCTGCCTCTTGGGTAAGAGCTGGGGAAATGCCACTCGCCCATCACAAAGCAGAGGAAGTGGCCTCCAGCTCAATCGCCAAGCCACAGACAGCCCGGGCAGCCCCTCACCACTGGCCACAGCACCTCGCAGTGACCCAGGTCTGGGGCCCAGCACAGTCCCTGGACTCAGAACATTGCTGCCACAGAGGAGGGAACACAGGCTCAGGCCTAAGAGCTGGGGAGCTGGGGCTGACTGTGCCCCGGAAGGGGTGTCGCTGCCCTCAGGAGCTATCTTGGGGGCCAGAAGACCAGGCCCAAGGAGGTGAAACCCCTCCTCTTAGAGCTCGCTGTGCAGCTCTTGGGAGGGCGTCAAAAAAGTCATAGTAAAGACACAAACACACAAATGAAATACTTATCTGTGCCGGCAAAGCCTAAAGGCCACGTACAAAGTGAAAGCAAATTAGAACTTGGGGATTTTGGGTGAATCTTTTTTGACTTAAGTTAAATTTTAATGTTACTATAATGTTTCTCTCAAATGAAAGCTGGAGGCAGTTTAAATAAAACTAAAAGATTTTCAAACTTTTTGTTTAAAATCATTGAAGCCCTTGTATTTTTTTTTTTTTTCAAATAAGGTTTCCAAGGAACAAAGTGTAGAACATGTGCGTGTGTCCCCTGTGGAGCCGAGTGTGGTGGGAGGCAGGCCAGACTCTCCTCCCTCCGCGCCCTCCCGTCCCCCACAGCAGGTCTGCCAGATTCCCTAGGTCCCCAGAGAAGTCAGCCCTCCCATCTGCTCCACGAGAACCTGGAGTGTAGGGGACTGGAGCAGCCCTACATGAGAACGGCGGCCTCGGGCCCCCAAACGCCAGGTCCGGCCTGTCTCCATGGCTAGGATCAGATGTCACAGGGGCCTCAGATTCGAGGCCCAGGAACCCTGGCTGAGACAGACATGGCCCCAGTGCCCAAGGGTGGGCTGATGAGGGAATGGGTGGCTCCTCACAGCTTGGGTGCTCACCTAGTGTCACCCCAGACCCTGAACCTTACTTACCACGGGGCGGGAGAAGTGGTCCTCAGACAGACCGAGATCCATCACACGCTCGGCACAGTGGAACTCCGGCTCCACAGGGGGCAGCTCCGGCAGGACCTCTGGAGCGAGCGCAGGGGAGGGGCGCAGGAGCAGGGGTGAGGACAACAGAGAGAGAAAAGTCAGTCTGCCCTTCCCCCACGAGGGGGCGAGGTTGGCCAGGGGTGGGTGCTCAGGGATTCAGGGAGCCCACAGGAGGTGCCGAGAGAAGCCTGGCCTTGCCCTGGCACCTGCCATTTGCAAAGGAGCTGTACCCTTGTGCAGGTAACAAAGAGCCATTCAAAGAAGACACAGAAGACGACCAAGGTGCTAAAAAAGGTCCGTAAGGCTGTACCCTAAAAACCCGACTGGATCCCAGAAAGGCCGTGGGAGGGGGTGCTGCACACAGAGTCCTTGAGCCCCCGTGTGGGCTCCAGGTCACTGCTGCGCACGCACCCCATCGACTCCGCCTGCAGTTCTGGGCGCTGCCACCCTGACAGGTGCCCTGTCCCCCAGCTCTCAGCACTGAGTTCACTCCCCAAGTGTTCCCTGAGGGGGGGCCTGCTGTGAGCCGGGCCTGCGCCACAGCAGTGACAGGGCAGTCACAAATCCCTGCCCTCAGGAGTGTTCGTCCTAACAAGGAGGCAGAAAAAAGTAAAGGACAAAACAGGTAGGAAGTCGTTTGTGTTATGGAGAAAAGGAGCAGCCAGCATAGTGCCAGCTCTCGGAAGCCCAGGAAGAGAGGGCGGGGGCAGGTGTCATGGCCACTCGGGCCTCCCTGGACACCCACCTTCAGGAGCCACGTCTGGGGCCTCCTCGCCGGCCCCCTGCTCATGCTGCCTTGGTCCCAGCTGCTTGTTGAAGGGGTTGAGGTGGGCCTGCCGGAACCGGGCCAGCTTCTCATCACATTCCATAGCACCCCACCTGCGGGCCGGGATGAGGCAGAGGTGAGCATCCAGCCCCCGCGCTCACCGTGCCTGTCTCCTCCGCGTTTCTGGGCTTTCAGAGCGGATGCCTCTTCCACTCCCCAGGCAGGTCTGGGAGAAGGCCCCCACACCACCGTCTCCATCCTCAGCCCCTCCCCAGACCAGTTCAGCCCCCTTTCCACCCCCCGCCCCGCTGGCGGCACTCAGTGATGACATCCAGCATACTCCCATCATGCAGAGGGGATGGGCAGGGCTAGAAGCAAGACCTGGCTTAGCCTGACTTAGACAGACAGTCTGGAACCCGGGCCCCCTGGCTCCCAGCACAGGGTCCTTTGGCTGTGGTCCAGCTACGGCCTCGCTGCCCACGAGAACAAAAGGCTCAACAGACCCCGTGACACATGCCTTCCTCACTCCGGGCCCCCGGACCAAGTCACCCCTTTCCTGTCAGAACACCCCAAAGCTACAGTGCCTGAACATCCCAGTCGGCGACGGCCATCGGAGCACAAGGCTGGACACTGGAGCCGGTGCAGGGCCCAGGCCTTCTCCGCCACCCGCAGTGTGGCCTCGGGCAGAGCCCGTCTCGCCAGTGCCCCACAGAGGCCCCGCCGCTGCCTGCGCCGCACTGGCCTGCGTTCCCGCCGATGCCCTACGGGGCCTGAGTCAAGGGGTGGCCTCGCACCTTGGGTCCCAGACAACAAGCAGAAGTGTTTCATTCACTGCCTGGCACTGTGTCCCCTCCCTGGAGCTCAGCGCACTGGGCACACAGGGCTGATGGCTCCTGGCAGAGGGAGGGCTTGGGCTGGAGTGGGAGTGTCCACCCCAGGCACCCACCTAAATGGCTGGGCTGAGCGCCTTAGCCTCTCTCCCTCTACGGACAGGTTTACAGGAAGTCAGAGAGGTTTTTTTAAAGCTTTGTAGTAAGTGCCTGGCTGTTAAATATGCTTTCTGTACACCTGTTTACAGGCTGAAATAATTCATCATTATAAAAGACAATCCTATGTCTACTATCTGTTCCTTCCAAGTAAGAACTAAGCCCAGAGGGGACAGACAGCCCTGCTGGGTACCCCCCACCCCTGCCCACTGCCAGCTGTCCTGCACCTGGGCCAGGAACTCCCACAGCACCTGCAGGACCTGTCCTGCCTGTCTGGCCTCTGTGCTGGGCATGTCGGGGAGAGTCTCAGTCTGGCAGAGTGCAGCACCCACTGACTGCCTGCCCCAGGCCAAGCCCAGAGGTCACAGGTGCCACGGGCTCGAGGTCCATCTTATTACCTGATGGCTTTGGGCGGCTCACACTGAGGCCCAGTACCCCAGCCCCACCTCCATGGCAGATGCCACGGTGTCCTAGGAAGCACCCCGAGTGCAGGGAGACTCAGCCGTCTGGGATTCACTCGCCCCTTTTTCCTGAGTGGTGACACAGACTCTCTGCTTGGCCCGACTTGACTCAGGCTCCCGAACCTTCTCCTAGGCCCGTCTGTGCCCCTCCTTGTAAACCCAGCTCTGGCAAAAATTCTGCGAAGTCCGTTTGGCAAGAGTCCCCCACCCCGATACCTGATTGCCCTCTTATCTGATTGGGCGCCTCGTTCCTGCTACCCACCCCAGACGTCGGCTTTCCCCGGCCTGCCTTCAGCAAAGACCCCATTAGGTCAGTTCGGCCAGAATCCCCCACACCCTTAGCAATGGTCCTGAGTAGTCTGTTTCTACTGTTGTAACAACTGTCCAGGTCTGATTTTTCTTTGACAGTGGAGAACCCTGATTTTCAGCTTATGTGATTTCCCAGCTTCCTTGCAGCTAGATGTTCTGACCAATAAGATGTAAACAGAAAGATCCCATGAGACTTCTGGGACTTGTTCTTAAAAGGAGCGAAGCCCAAGCCCTCCCTCTGCCTCTTGCTAGCTGGGATGCAGATGTAATGGGTGGAGCTGGAGCAGCCACCTTGGGTTGTGACATAGAGCCCTGAGCTGCTTACTCCCAGCTTCATTCAAAAGGGAAAGAAATAAACTTCTGTTTAAACTACTGTTATTGGGAGAGAGATTTCTGTCTCTTGAAACCAAAACAGATCCCGACTGATCACGCCCACTACCTTGCGGTGATAACATGAACCCGCCCTGTACTGCAGTGTCCTAGCTCTGTAAGCTCCCGGCTGTGTGACCTTGGGCGGATGCCTAACCCTTCCTTTGCTTTTGTTTTCTCATATTTCCGATAGGGGTAATAACAGCACCCACTGTTAAAATTAAATTAGGCAATAAAACTTCTGAGCACTCTGGCCAGCACATGGCGAGCATCCAGTAAACACCGGGCACGACATATTATCATCACTGTCACTAGTATTGTCAAGAATCAGGCAGCCTCGATTTAGACTCTGGCCTTCGCACTGACGAGCTACACGTGCCCATTTTCCTGCCCATCAATTAGGGAGAATGCCTACCTCCCAGGGTGGGCGAAAGGCCCACATGTTTGTATATGGCAGTGAAGCCCAGAGCCCAGAGCTGCTACCGAGCAAACTGTCACTGTCCTCATGTGATGACCAGCCCCCCAGGGGTCTCTAAAACATGGAAAAGGAATCCAAAGGCAGGAGCCCCTCAGCTGCCCCCGGAAGTTCTCCTCTGGGCTGCCCACTCGCAGGAAAAAGCATCTTTTGTTCACCTCCTCGTGGGCAGTGCCAGCCCCAGGCCTGGCACGGGGGCCCTGGATGACCCAATGAGTGGGACCGCTTGACTTCTCTCAGCCTCAGTTTCCCTCCTGCCAAGTTGGGGAATCATATTTCCCTCGGGGCAGACACGATGTTCCCACACATGGGTTCAGGGGGTGCAGTGCACCAGCCAGCCCCACCGCCACACCAGGGGCACCCAGAATTCAGGCTTGGCCTCACAGGGGAACGGTCAGGAATAGAGAACACCTGCTGCTGCCCACTCTGCCCTCCTCCCAAGACGGCCCCTACCAACTCAGCGATTAAAGGGAGCCTAAGAATGAGGGCCAGGGACTGCCCGGGAGCTGAGGGACCCGGGGCTGAAGCTCAGGGGCGCTCGCCACCACCAAACACGTCCTGCCAGGGGCTCGGCCCCAGCACCACCGGAGGCCCCTAGAATTCTCCCTGGAGCGGGCAGCGGGGAACACATGCCACCTGCGGCCGGGAGGCTCATCCCTGGAAGGAGGCCTGCCAGGACTCCGCAGGGGCGGGGCTACTGTCCCTTTAAGGATCGTTTGCCACTGAAGCCTGGCAGAGTGACTGCTAGCCTCAGGGACCCAGCCAACCCCAAACATACCTGCCCCGCCTTTGCCCACAACAGTAGGTATGCACCATCACTAACCAGCCCACATGGGGGCAGGCCTCCTCTGCCACCCTGCCCATTTCATAGGTGAGAAAACTGAGGCTCAGAACGACCCAGCATCGGTGGAGGATGGTACAGCCATGGGACCTCAAAGTCCACAGACAGAGCGCGCTGACCGCAGGAAGAGGTGACAGTGTCACCTGGGGAGGCCATTCCTGGTCTGGGGAGCTAAGCCCTGCCCGAGTGAGGTGGGGGACAGCTGAGGCCACCAACGCGTCTTCGCTGGGGTGAGAACCGGAAAGTGGGCGTCCAGACCCCGCGGGTCTGAACCCTCCTAGGGAGTGAGTGGGTGCCTCGGGCAGGTCCCTCACCCCCTGTGCCTTCGGTGTCGCTCCGGGAAAGAAAGGTCCCCGAGCTCCGGGTCGCCGAAGGCCGAGTGGGCACCGAGGGCCCAGAGCCCGGTTCTCTCCACCCCCAGCACCCCCGCCCCTCACCGACCCGCCTGGGCGCCCCCCTCCTCCGCTCACCTGACCGCCGCCGCCCCGGCTACATTGTAACCCGCCCCGCCGCCCTCGCAACATTGTATCCGGCCCCGCCGCCCGCTGCTGCCACCTGCGGCCCGGAGGCTCATGACACGCCGCCCGCAGTCTGCGCGCCCCGCAGCCTCCACGACCCGCTCTGGGAAATGGGTGACACTTGGTGTCGCCTGCTCAGGATGGTGTGGGAAGGGGCTGCGTTTCCTAGATATTCCGTAATTACAAAAGCCCGGCTTTAAACTGAATTCACACTTTTAAAATGGTGGTGTTTAATATTTTTTTAAACCCCAGGGAGTGAGGAGGAAAAAAGGAAAAGAGAATCTGCTGGAGAGGCAGCCACCCTCCCTCACGCACTGCCACCTGCGCGGGCCTGTGTGGTGTTCGCAGCTGGGGAGGGAGGACAGCGCTGGCGTTCTGCGCATTTTACAGAGCGGGAGGCTGGCGCCGAGCCAGGTCAGGGGGCTGCTCAGTGGAGGGGGGGGGGATGGGGTGGGAGAAGCCGGCGTCGGAAGCTTCTCCTACTTCCCACACTACCTGTTTTGTTCCCCTCTGCCACCCTCATCACTGGCTCATGCATTCTCATTTTACTCATTGTCACCCCCACCCCATTCCCACTGGAACCAGGGGGCTGCAAGCCAGGATTCTGTTTGCTCCTCACTGCCTCAGGCCTGGAATGAGCCTGGACGCTGTCGGCGCCTAGCTACACGGACTGAGGGAGGGAAGGGAGCCTGGGCGAGGCGGGCCCTGAGAGGAAGAAGGTCCCAGCAGGCAGGTGGCCCTCTGCACAAATGCGTGTTAGCAGCAGTTGCGGAGCTGACTCTGCTGACCCAGGCCTCAGTTGAGGCTCTGTGACACAGAGGTGAGGAGACAAACAAGGTCCCAGTACTCAAGGAGCCAGCAGAAAATAAGCAAAGGTGCAAATTAAGAGCAGATGTAACGAGCGCTAAGAAGGAAATAAAAAGGGTGACGAGGTAGAAACAAGGTCAGGGGAGGAGGACACCGAGCTCAAGACCCAAAGGGTGGGAAGGGAAGAGGCACAGCAGAGCTGGGGAGAAGCACTGGGAAGGGGAACCTCGGCGAGAAGGCCCAGGGAACCGAGAGCCTGGGGCCCCGCACACAGCAAGCACGTTGGCGGGGAGCAGCTCGGCCGCAGGGGAAGTGGGAGGAGAGGGCGGGAGACGGGGAGGCTGCGGGCCGCGCGTGGGCGCTTGGCCTTGATTTGCGGTGAGATGGCAGCCACTGGGAGTCTCTGTTCTCTTAACCGCGTCAACGAAGTGTGGTGGACACACAGGAGGCGGCATGCGCCTTGCTGTGCGTCTGGTGAGCACTGGCCCGTGCTCAGGCCGTCAGCCTATCCACCATCATGGACATCTCCTCACTCCCCTCGCAGTCCCTCCCTGCCCCACCGCATCCCCAGGCAAAGGCCGGTAGCTGCTTTCTGCCACTATGTGGCATTTTCTAGAATTTTCTAGAGGTGTATGTCCTCTTATTTTGTGCTTTGTTCCCACTGGCTCCTCTCACTCAGCTTAATTATTCTGAGACCCATTCATGTGGTGGTGGTTGTCAGTCGTGTAATCCATGGTGTGGAGAGGCCACAGGTAGTTTATCCACTCACCTGCTGATGAACATCTGCGCTGTTTTCAGTGTTTGCCTCAGTGTGCTTGGATGGAGGGTAGGTTCAAATCTTGATGCTTCTGAATATGCTGTCGGGAGCAATAAACCGCCCCGCCTAGGCTGAGCACTTGTCGCAGCCCCTGAGGACAGCCTGCAACAAGCGCTTTTGTGGGTCGGCACCAAGGGTGCTGCTCTCTTAGTCCACTAGGGGTGCTATAGCGACGCACCACAGACAGGGCGACATGAGCAACAGGAATTTATTCCTCAGGGTTCTGGAGTCCAGAGTTCTGAGCTCAGGATGCCAGCGCGGTCAAGGGCAGGCGAGGGCCTCTGCTGGGTTTCAGACGGCCGTTTTCCCCTTGTGTCCTCACATAGTGATGGTGAGTGCTCTCCGGGCACTAGGCCCATTCACGAGGGTCCCACCCTTGTGACTGCATCACCTCCCAAAGGCCTCGCCTCCTCATGCCGTCACATGAGGATTTGACATACGGATCGGGAGGGGGACACAACAAGGTTACAGCGGGTATAATTTTTGAAACTCCCAGACTGTGAGAAATGATGTTTGCAACCACAGTAGTGGCAATGGGTGTCTGGCTCCTGCCTGGAGTGTCTGAGTCACATGGTCACCTAACCCAGAGAAGGTGTGAGCTCCAGGTGGGGGGTTTCAGTGCCTCACAGCTGCTTCAAGTCTGTAGTGCACCCAGGAACTGGGATCCTGGGCATCACATCCTGCCCACGGGGACTCAACTTCACTTCAGTTTTGCCCGTGAGCACCTATCCTCGGAACCCCACGTGCCCCTGGCCCCTCCTGCTGGGGAAAACCACATCCCGCCCCACTCCACACTCCGGAGGAGCGGCTGCATCTGGTGATCTTCCAAGGCTGGGCTTTATCGGTACCTGCGTGTGTATGTGCTCATTTGTAATTATCTAAGCAAGTAGTTTCCAAAGAGTTTTAAGAGCAAAAGTCTTTTCTTTCAAATGAATCTATGTGGAATTCCAACGCCTAACACACAAGCAGGAACCCGTTCTTTCCAGCTGGAAAGCGCCCTAGACAGGGGAGATGAGCTGGCCACATGGAGAGGGGCAGACTCCAGGGTCCTCTCCTCTCTCAGGCTGCCACTGTCCCCAGGGGTGGTAAGAATGGTGTTTGTTCGGCCGCCCATCTCCTCCATTCAAACATGGCCCTGCCTCTGACAGTCTGTCTTCACGCCTCTGCAAACAGCAAACACGCAAACCCCGCAGGGTCATGGAGGGAGTGACGGGTTCAAGACCACCTGGCTCTCCACGGTAGGTCCAGCTGTGGCCCTCCCGAGGCCCCCAGTCTAGAGTTATTGCGTTTAGCAACTAAGGAACGATTGCATAGTAGTCACATGCCCCCCAAGTGGAAGCTTGTTCCTGTTTACCCGAAATTCCAGTTTAACTGGGTGTCCTGTATTTGCTTGGGCAGCCCCACCCCTGGGTGTGAGGCCATCTCCTAGCCACTGAGCATGCCCTGCACGCTGGCCAGGCAAAGGACACCGGGAGGGCTGAGGCTGGAGTGTGCCCCTGGCCCTTCACCCAGACTGACATGGACAGGTGGACCTGAGGGCAAACAGCCAAGGAGGTGGCCGACCTAAAACACTACCCATTGGGTAGTGCTCACTGACATGCCAGGCAGGCCCTTCTAGAATGTTCTGCAAGAGTGAGTAGCCACTGAGCTGGCTCCTCCTGCTTCCTCCTGCCCGTGCATCCCTGCAAACAACTCCCCCCCTTCGCAGGTGTAACAGATACGTGGATTTGCTGGCGCGGACGGCCTGTGACTGGCCACGGGCTGCTCTGCCGCTGCATGCGCGCTCTGCGGAGCGTTTACCCGAAATTCCAGTTTAACTGGGTGTCCTGTATTTGCTTGGGCAGCCCCACCCCTGGGTGTGAGGCCATCTCCTAGCCACTGAGCATGCCCTGCACGCTGGCCAGGCAAAGGACACCGGGAGGGCTGAGGCTGGAGTGTGCCCCTGGCCCTTCACCCAGACTGACATGGACAGGTGGACCTGAGGGCAAACAGCCAAGGAGGTGGCCGACCTAAAACACTACCCATTGGGTAGTGCTCACTGACATGCCAGGCAGGCCCTTCTAGAATGTTCTGCAAGAGTGAGTAGCCACTGAGCTGGCTCCTCCTGCTTCCTCCTGCCCGTGCATCCCTGCAAACAACTCCCCCCTTCGCAGGTGTAACAGATACGTGGATTTGCTAGCGCGGACGGCCTGTGACTGGCCACGGGCTGCTCTGCTGCTGCACGCGCGCTCCTGCGGAGCGGAGCTTGGGAGTCCAGTGGGTCAGGCAGGCGTCCGTCAGAGCGCAGAGCTCCACGTCCGTGATGTAGGGCGAGGCATGAGAGCAGAGTGACTGCAGATGTGAGGAGCTGGAAGCTCCTGGGAGAGAACCGGCTGGGGGCCCCACCAGGGAGGAACTCTAGGGAGCAGCAGAGGTTTTGGGGGGCGGGAAGTGCCAGGTTCCTGTGCCTTCGCCTGGGTCTGGAAGGAGAAGGGGTGAAGGGGTTGGCCTCAAAGCCAGCTCCACGAAGGCAGGTGGCCCAAGGAGGCCGGCACACCTGACGCGATGTGAGCAAAGATAAAGTTTTTGTGGGCACACGTGCTCGTGAGGGAAGTGTGGACATTTTAAGCAACATGCAGATGTACACAGACCTGGGCCAGAAGCCCGGCTCTGCCGCTTGCCAGCTGGCAAATGCCTCATTTCTCCGAGCCTCCTTTTTTGCTGTGAAATGTGGGTAATAATGTGAAAGTTAAAGGGGGTGTGGTGTGGGGCCCGGTAACAGAATGCACCTGGGGTCCAGCATAAGCACCTGTGGGTTTCAGTGACTGGGTGGAGTCGGGAGGACCTTCGTCGACACTGGGCAGGTGTCTCAACTCTTCCTGGGTCACAGGACCCTTTTCGAATCTGAGCTATGGACACCTGCGTGCAGCTCTGTGGAGGCCGGCAGGCCTGCGGAGCCCCAGGGACGCGTGGTGGGTGCTCTGCTCCCCTCCAGCCTCCTTCACCACATGGTGGTGAGGACCCAGCACAGGGCTCAAACCCCCATCGTGTGGCCAACAGTCACACACATGTCACTTGGTTGTCTCATGGGGGAGGGGTGAGCAGGCGGAGATGCTTGAAGCCGGCCTGGCACAGGGCAGGTGCCCAAAGTGTCGGCTCCCAGGACTCACTTCTGTGCTGCTCAGGGCGCCAGGGCCTGGCCTACGTCCGGGCCACAGCCCGATAGTCGGCCCGTCCGACCTTCGGTCCCCTCAGCGTCTCGTCTCCCACGTACATATCTGCAGAGAAGGGTGAGGCACGCAGCGCAGCCTCACCAAAAGCACTTTTACGTCCTGTGGGAGCCAGGCTGGAAAACATAGCCTTGCCTCGAGGGCTTGGGTACGGGGTGGCTGAGTGGAGAGGGCTCTGGCCAGTCCAGCTCTGCACACACTCATGTGGGCCCTGGCACTTGGTGCCTGTCCAGGTTCCCACTTCTTTCCCTGCAGAAGGAAGTGGGTGGCCAGGGTAGCACCTTGCAGGGGCCCTTAAAGGACACCAAGCACCCTGCGGCCACAGGAAATGACCACCAGGGGGCGCACGGGGCTGCGCATCGCTCCCTGCCTGCCTGTGCCTGGATGCGGCAGCCACAACTCACTGACAACCACTCCTTCGCAGGGCCCAAGCCCACTCTCCAACACTCCACATTTTCCCAGGGCGTGCTCCAGGTCCCCCCTTCCTACCTCCCAGCTGGGTCCTGGGCTCCCTGCCTGTAACGTCCAGCACACAGATGAGCCAGAGGAAAACTCTGGAATGTGAGTCACGCTGTAGGAGAGCAAGGATTGTTCCCAAGTCATGGCAGTGCCATGCCTGGGATTCTGAGACAATGCCGCATCCAAGATGGGCCCAATTTTCCTCCACCTCCACTTTCAGGAGCCCCTGCACCCCACTTCCAGGATCCCCTTAGAGACTGTGCCTTGAGACACCTGCAAGCTCTAAGGACAGGGCTGTCTCAGCCACTAGCCTGGTAGAAAATGGCCCTTTGTCCTGACCCAACCCAGGTTGCCTGTCTGTCTCTCCTCACCCCTCTGGGTCCAACTTTCCAGAATAAAAAGAAATCTCTAGCGCCAGGCAAGGGTATCTGACAGCAATAAATTTATTAAGTATCCTCCCAAATATGAACATGAACCAGTAAAAAAAAAAAACAAGAAAAAAACAAACAAACAACAACCAAAAAAAAACCCATAAAACATCAGGCCTGGAGTTGACAATAAAGCAGAGACAAATGAGGGACACAAAAATGGAAACAGCCTATGGGAAGACGGAGCCGAGTCGACTCGCGTGGGCTGGGGATGCTGTAAATACTGAAGGACAGACACGTGGGAGCCCTAGGGTGGCGTGACGGAAGCCGGCGGGGCGAGGCTGGGGCGGCGTCGGCGGCCGCACAGCGCGGGGGGCACAGACCTCTTGGCCCTGGCTGCAGCCTGCGCCCCCACCCCCCAGCGGCGTCACTTGGGACCCTGGGCCTCAGACTCCTCCTCGTCGTCTTCGTACATCTCGCCCTCCTCCTCGGCCGTGGCGTCCTGGTACTGCTGGTACTCGGACACCAGGTCGTTCATGTTGCTCTCGGCCTCGGTGAACTCCATCTCGTCCATGCCCTCGCCCGTGTACCAGTGCAGGAAGGCCTTGCGCCGGAACATGGCCGTGAACTGCTCCGAGATGCGCTTGAACAGCTCCTGGATGCCGTGCTGTTTGCCGATGAAGGTGGCGGCCATCTTCAGGCCGCGCGGCGGGATGTCGCACACGGCCGTCTTCACGTTGTTGGGGATCCACTCCACGAAGTAGCTGCTGTTCTTGCTCTGCACGCTCAGCATCTGCTCGTCCACCTCCTTCATGGACATGCGGCCCCGGAACACGGCGGCCACCGTCAGGTAGCGGCCGTGGCGCGGGTCGCAGGCGGCCATCATGTTCTTGGCGTCGAACATCTGCTGGGTGAGCTCGGGCACCGTCAGGGCCCGGTACTGCTGGCTGCCCCGGCTGGGGAGCGGGGCGGAGC